CCACCCTCTCCTGCAGAGTCGGCGCGGGGAGCAGCCCAGCTCCACCGAGACAGAGCGGAGGAGAGAGGGATGGCTGCGCCGGGCAGGAGGCACCCTGGCAGGCGCTGCCCCGGCTCCCCGTGGCGCTGGCAGCTCGAGGTAGTTAATTAGAATCGTGTCACTAAGTAAATGCGCTCTGACTGGACTCTGACAGATGCTCACCTATGACATTGGGGGCCAGGAGACAATCCACATCAAACTACTGCAGTGTGACCCTTTTAACACAAAGAGTAAACTCACTGCACATCGAGTTGAAGCTCATTAAAACTGTCTACTCTGCGAGCATCCCATTAACCTCACTGTTAAAAACACGCAATTCCTCTTCTTCTTTCCGAGGCCTAATTAATGCTCTGGATCAGGAACAATATCACACCCTAACCTTCCGAGATTTCCAATCAGTAAATGAAAAGAGAGAGACGGAGTCAGGAAGGCACGGTGGCTTGCTGGGTCGCTCACCGCATGGGCTGCTGACCTGCCCAGGCAGGTGGGGCTGTTCTGTTTGGCACAGGCAGAGATCCCCCCACACAGGGAGCACGGCACCACCCCGGCAAGGGAGCTGTGGAACAGGGAAGATCTGTGCAAAGGCTCAGAGCTCACAGGGTTATGACAGCTGATGTGAAACAGCCCAGTGAGGGCACCATGTCAAGATGGGTGCTACTATGGGACCAGATCTCCTGGTCACCTGGGATGGGTACTGAGGGTTCACTAGCAAGAGATACAGCAACCTAGAAAAAGAAAAACAAAAACCAAACAAACCCCAAACCAGACATTTACATCTAAATCTAAAATCACAATAATGTATGTGCTAAAACCTAAACTTTAAAGATTCAATTACATTCAATTAGATTCAAAAAAGATCAGTAGCAAGGAGTAATGTCATGTTTTAAAGACAGTCAATGCACTGGAGAGGGAAGCAGAGCTGACAAATGAGAAAAATACTTTACCAGTAGGAGCTGCTACTTTTGCAGTTTTGGAAATTTTTTGCTGGTTTTGGTGTATTTTCAATTCAAGAACTGGCTAGTTCAGAGCTGAGAAACAACAAAGGATTGAAAATAAAAAAGGTTTGTCTTTTATCTTTCCATAATCACTGAAGACAACCAAACCAATCAACTAAGGTAAGAGAGGATGAGATGTAGTCATTCTAATACCTTGAAAGGCTGGTTTCCAGAAACACTCCTCCAGGTCACTGATCATTTATTTCTTGCTTTGGTTTCATGTACCAGGGCTTTTCTTTACCTAAAAAGTATTCTGAAATTTACATTTCTTTCTGTAGTGAATATTTGCAAGGGAAAGATGATTTTCCTAATAAAATCAATTCAAACTACCACTGAAGTACTTAAGCATGGCATTACAGTTTTCATCCAAAAGAGCAATCATGAGTAATAATTTAATCACCAACTCTTCAAGAACAAACAGTAATTCACCGTTTTTCTAATGTAAAAAATATTTAAAAACTAAGACTGAAGGCATATTATGTTACATAATCAATCAAAATAAATGTAGCAAAAATAGAGTATTGGATGAGTAAAAGAATAACCAGATTTAACAACTGGGCAGTACTAAGGAAAGCTGCACTTGGTTTGATAGGTGCTGTTCAGTAAAATTTGACCTTTTTTCAGGGAAACATGTTTTAAAAAAAGCAAAACCAGAAGAGAATCAATTTCTGAATGCAGGTGATCTGCTGTCTGATTTAAATCACAACTAAAACCTGAAATTTTAATCCTTCTGATTTGTATGGGTCTCTGACTCTCATCAGAGAGACCCCAACACAGGTACCCAGCTCCACTGGTGTGGAGGCTGTGAATGCTGGTCTTTGCATGCCAAGACTCCCATTAAAAGCTGCAGCTTGTTTTTGGCAAGCACTGCCTCAAACACATGTGTTAAGAATGGTAGTGTCCCCATATATGTAAGACTGAGTAACTTCTTGGCAAGACTTAACTTCATTTTGCTGAGGGCCAAGAAAATAGCAGACAAAGAGAAGTTCCTCACCCCAAGATTCTACAGCCCACGCTGGAGCTGACACATATCTAGCCTGTCTTAGAAAAGAGATGGAAATTGCATAAAAATATCCTCTCTAGTCTCCAGGGACACATTCAGCCCAGAAGGAATCCTTACGGCTGAAACATCAATGTGAGAAAGGGCATGAAAGAATAGGCTTCATACCCCTTCTGCTCCTTTCTGATCTCCCAAGGAATTCCTGCATCCTCACCCTCTGGAGCAGGACTTTTCTATCTCCTTATCCTGAAATATTTACATTTCCCCCCTTCCTTTGCCTTTTCCCTCTCAAGAACACAATGGCACCAGACCTGCACCCACCCCCACCCAAGACAGCTGTATTTGCAGTGTATGCAGATATATTTTGGTGTTTTTGGGAACACAAATTACTCTTCTAACCCCTCAATAAGCTTTGCAGCTCACTTGCTCATTAATGGAACCCAGACAAAAGCTAGAAGATGAGCTCTGTGCAGCAGCTTGCTGTATGTGCAGCTGTGTGTTCCAGGGGATGTAGGGAGACTCCACTGTGCTCCAGCACGAGCCCATCCTGCCTGTATCCACTGGATGCTAAAGGTGCTTCCCATCCAGAATCTGGCCTTCAGGGCCCTGCAGGGTGTCAAGCACCCTGAACTCTGCAGATATTGAACACGATGAAGGAAAGGAGATGAAGCATAGAGCAGGACTGGTCCCAGAGCATGTCAAGTGCAAGGATTTGGAACAGATACCTGCTGAGACAGTGAAACAGAGAGTGATTTGAAAACAAAGCAATACAGAATCCATCAGGCAAGATGGCAAAATTCCTTGCAAATTGTTTGCAAAAACAAGTGGCTATCCACTACAATTTTTCTGTCAGATTTGAAGGGAAACATCCGTGTTGTGCATTCCTGCGTAAGCACGCTGAGGCTCCCCAGACTGCCAGGAAAGGAGCTGCACAGACACTCTTACACTGCATGCTACCTGTGAAACTGCTGAGACTGGCTATCAACACTCCTTGCTGCTCCCTTCTCAGTCCTCTTTGGTTTGCAGATTTTTGGCCATCAGTGACCCACGAGGGCCATGAAAATCAGAGGCTGACCCCCCGCTTAGATGACCCAGGAAGCCTCCTCTCAGCTCCCTAATACTCTCTCAACACGGCTGTACTCCAGGGCTGAGCCTAAAGAGAAGGAAGGCTCTAGATGGCATGGGACCATCCCCAGATCCACAGCCAGCAAGAGGCTGGCAGTCCTTTATTCAGCTGAGAAGTAGGGCTGTGTTGGGATCAAGGCTCCTTACAGTCAGAGAGGGAAAGGAAGGGCAGCCCTAAGCAGGGAAAGGGAGGCATGGCTCCTCCCAACCCTGATGCACGGGCAATCAAAAGCATGAAGAAGAGAGAGGTAAGGGAAAGGCTGGTACATTGGGATGGAGCGCTGCAAGAAGGGAGCTTGGGTGCTGGGCCTCGCTGGCTCACCCTGTACTGGCAGAACTCCTCCACAGAGGGAGTTTGGCAAAACTCTCCTAAAGGACTGGAATGGGGAGAGACATGAACAGCAAATCCCTGTACTCTGTCAGGCAGAGGTATGTACTCTGTCATACCTGTGCAAGACAACAATACTGAGATAAAGGGGCAGAAATCAACAGCAGTCAGATGATACTCCAGAGAATGGGGACACTTTGTTGGAGTAAGGGATGACAGCAACAAGAGAGCTCATCACACAAATAAAATGAGGAATGATGAGGCAGAAACCAACTCTGCATCTACTCGGAAACCCCAGAAAAAGCCCAAGTCCCCAGAGCAGGACATGCACACACAACTCCTGCAGTTCCTGCTCCCTCCCCATGATCCTCCCAACATGGCACACAATCCAGGCAAATCTGCTCCCAGGCAGGGAAGCAAATTTTAATGCTACCTCTGTCAATAATGCAACCAGATCCATAGTTCAAAAGGACCCTGCTAATTAAAAGCTGGTGAGCTTTAAATAATTCATCTCCTTAACTTGGATTGATTGGAGAGTTTAATGGTTAGAGTCTTGAAACAATATTAAACAGCCTCTTCAAGGCCCAGGTAGCCAGTGACTTTTCCAAGTAAATCTTACCTCCTTGCAAACTTTAATGCTCAAAAGTCACTGTGGATGAAGGCTGGGAGGCAGAGAAAATATCTCACCACTGGTCTCCAAGAGGTGATCTACTGCTCCACAGAGAAACAAGACAGACAAGAGTGATGCAGCCCTGAGTCACAGCTCTGTCTATAGCCCAGTAAATCTGAGTTCCTGCCTGTACCACAGCCTGCTACTCTACCAGCTCTGCATCCCCACTGTTAAGCAGCAGGCAGATATACGGCCTTAGTGTCCTGGGCCAGGTCTCCCTCATATCACTTTGATCCCTGGTGCAGAGGAGTTGGGGGATACATGGAACTCTGCCACTGTTTATCTCAGAGCACTGTTGATCACTTTATCTTGAAGCACGCTGCAGGACAACAAAACTCATCATATGTGTTAACAAACAGGATGATGATTCAGTTCTCCAGCTGGGATCACGCCTCTTCAGTCTGCAATGTGTTTCCAGCCAGTTCCCAAGCCAGGCAGCACAGCCTCCTTTCCAAGGACTGCAGCATCCAGAGCAACTGGATGACTGGTCCAACAGGGAGAGCATCCCACCCAGCCTGGGGACCCTTCTGCTGTGCTCCAGGCATCTACTGCTGACCACATCCAACCTTAACCCAAGCACTGCTAGAGCAGTCTAGGAGGGAAGCAGCTCCCCAGCCAGAGGGACAGGCAGGTATGTCTGGCACACTGGCACATGCAAGGGACAGAGAAGTATGTGTCCATTCTGCCCTGACACATCTTCATCCTTCCACCAGCTGAGGACTCTTCAGCCCTTTGGCTTGTTCTCAGCACCCCAGATGGACAATGTCTTAGAGCTGAGGCACGTCCCACACACTCGGAGCGGCAGCTGTGGAGATGGAAATGGCACGGGGCAGCATCACTCACCTATCCCGCTGTGAGGCCTCCCTATGTGCTGTAGGTTCAGTCCTTTGTTCATGTCTAAGAGCCCGTTCTTTGGCCAACTCCCCATGGCAAAGCTGTACGCCTGGAAGAGAGAAGCAGAGGGTCAGACACAGCCCATGTGCAGGCATGATCTGTACTTGCCCAGGTCTTACTGCTCCTGGGGCTGGAGTGGCTCTGTGTTCAGGGGCTGGTGTGTGTCTGTGCTCACCGTGTTCTTTGTGGACCTGTACATCAGCCTTGCAGCTGCTCTTCTGGAATTACCCACACAAAGTGCTCTCACCCTGCCCTGTCCCACCTGATTCTCCTTAGAGGTGTTCAGAACCTCTGGTGGTGTCCTGTACACATGAAAACCCTGTGACAGAGGGGTTTGCATCACTCAAGACCACCTTTGCCATGCTGTAGGGGGCAAGCCAGGGGCTATAAGCTCATCCCCTATGTCCCTTAGTTGCTCCAAAAACATCCATCCACTCCTGCTTTAACAGGGTCACCAACAGGGGTCAGGGGGTTTGGAAAGGGGTGTTCATTCCCAGGCTGGCCTGGCCAGCAAGCCCTTTCTTTTCTGGCAAGCACAGCCCTCCCTGCTCCCTCTCCTTTCCACCCCCAAGCCCCAGTTGCCTTGGTTCCCTCCATCACTGGGACAAATCCTACTGGGAGCCAGCACTGCTCAGCCCACTGCACAGAGCCTGCAGCCTGGCCAGAGGGAGCCTGTTTCATACCCATGGCATCCCCTGGCAGGGTTTCCAGAAGGAGCCAAGCAGCTGGAAGCATAAGCAGCACAAAAACCCACTGGACAAGGCAAACATAAAAGCAGCCGGGCCTCCATGTCACACGCACGGCTGTAATTACAGCCTGACAGCCACGTATCTTCTTCATCTTGAGGAATTAAGCTCAGAACGCATTGTGAGCGGTAAGAAGGGTGCGTGGGCTTAGCGTCGCTCACGCTGGCGTATCTTTGCTGCCGTGAGGGCCATTGTCCCCAGATGAGATCAGGTCAATCCAGCCGCCCCTATCTCCCTCCTGCAGCGGGGGATCATCGCTAACCGCAGCCACAGTGTGGCAGGCATTGCTGACACCCTCCGCAGGCTGCAAATGCCAGGAGATGCTCTCTGCAGCAGGAATGGGGATGAAATGGGTGACCAGAGCTGAGAGGTGTCCCCCACCAGCCCACCAGCCATCTGCCTGCTGCTGGGACCTCCTGCCAGCCCCTCTTTCCTGCTACCTGCTGCTCTGTCTAGAGCGGGCAGGTCCAGCCCCTGCGCAGCCCCTTCTGCTGGCAGCCCCCCGGGAGCCACGGGGCTTGGGGGAGTTAATTTATTAGTGGCCGATGTAGCCATTCATGCTGCTTTGTTACTCCTGCCTTAGCAAAACAGAGGGCTCCACAGATAATTAATAGACAGCATTGCTAATCCTGTTGGGAGATGATTAGCAATTAAAACTCCTAATTAAGTCTATGCATAATTCACTGAAATTACACTTTGTGTACACAACGGGGAGATTTCCTTTGCCTTCCGAGCTTGACAAACACGCTCTGGTATGTTCCCTCCCGTGATCATGATGCAGGCCAGCCAACCACGGGGTGGGGGGAGCCAGAGGTTGGGGCGCAGGATGGGACCCTGCCACCCATCTTCTGGGTGGCAGAAGTGGTTCCATGTGTGGTTCCCTCTTCTGGGCACAGAGCAAACCCAGGCTGAGCATAGGAAGACTCCCATGCTCAGCTCCAGTAGACCAGCAGTGGGGGCCATCCCTGGGGAAGTGGTATGTCCGGATGGGGAAGGACCAGGGGTGTCCCTGCCCAGGGAGCTACCATATCACAGGCTGCCTTCCCAGCCCAGACATTCCTTGGACTCTGCCCAGAAGCAACTGAGGTAGCACAGAGGGATGCTGGCAGGATTCCGGGAAAGCCACAGGGACAGCTTTGGAAAGCTCCTGGTAGCTGGGTGCTACTGCCAAGCTCAGCCTGCCTCCCCTGGCTGTGCAGCAGCAGGGAGCTGGCAGCACGTGCCCCAGCCCTCGGATCAGCACCGGGCCCTTCTCTGCATCGCGTTCTGCCTTCCTGATCAAGGTCATTCGGTACAGCTGCAATACCTGAGCAAACTACCTAAGCAGCTGGGGTGGAAGTTGGCCTGACCACTGAAGGTCAAGTGTGCACTTATGCATATTCAAAGCTGCCTGCAGGATCGATCGGATTTTAATTGTTTTTCCTGGGGTTTTGGAAGGAAGTGCCAGGGGCATTGATCAGTCCCAGACAAGGCTGCTCACACTCCAGGGCTGGCAGGGACCATCACTGCTGCAGGCACAGGGAAGTGCAGGCAGCGATGATGAAGGGATGAAGGCAGGGGAGAGGTCAGCCACCGCTGGCCGAGAGGAGGAGCCACTGCTGGGCTGTGCTGGAAAAGAAAGTTTTTTAATTAAAAGTGGCAATTCTGAGCCGCCTGCTGGCAGCAGCCACACAATCAAGAGCAAGGAGCTTTGCTGTTTAATATTTAAAGACAACGTTTAATCTTTAAACAGGAAAGTTCTTCCTCTGACTATTAAAGCGAGGCAGAAAGCGCCGTGGCTCCCCAACACCAGGGGTACCCAGCCTGCAGGGGTGGCTGTGGCCACTGGCTCACTGGAGCTGCTGGGACACTGGTGTCAACCACTTCCCTGCCAGCTCTGTGACCACACAGCCACCAGCAGTGGCGCAGACCCCTGTCCCTTCAGTGCTTATCCCTGTGGCAAATTGTAAGAAAGTCTGAGATGACCCTGGTTTGCTTGCAAGCCAAAGGATTTTTAAAAAAGCCATTAAACCCTTCCTGTGAGGAAATTGCACTACTTTGTACCTCACTCTGGTTCAGTCTTCGTGTTGCAGAGACTGAGTTGCTCCTTTTTAGGTCAGACACTGAAGCAGAGCCAAGACCCTGTGGTTTTTTATTTTTATCTGCATTTTAATTGATAAAAATTCAAGCATCTTTTAAAAAGGTTCTGACCAAAATTCCAATTTAGAGAGAAACTCAGTGTTTCTGATCTGATAAAAACCACTTGAACAATGTTTACAGAATAATTTTCAAGCAGCCTGAATACAACTATTTTCATTCATACCATCTCCTAGGAAGGTTTTCCTTTTTTCCTGATTTTGTTTGTAATCCTATGAAGGCTACATTTACCTCCTTGCCAATGCTGCTCCAAAGTCAGATGATTATTAATTATATTTATTTACTTATGCAATCCCATAGGCATACACAGCAGTTCACAGACAAATACCACCCTGGGTCCCTTATGGAGGGATCTTGAATCAAAGGTAAGCAGATATTCCTGTGATAAATGTGAGCTAATAGCAGCAGGAGATTAGGAACATACCGTGTTTCTATGCATAGAGCAAGCACCACGGATAATCCACATCTTGTTAAACAAGTGCTGGTGTGGGGAGGTAGGTCATTAGGTAACCTGTAGCCCACATATCCTGCAGAAAATCCAAAAACCAGAAGTGGGGATAAAACATGGGGCATGGAGATGATGCACACACAGAATCACAGCATCTGAGGCTGGCTTTATAACAGAGCAAAAAAAGGTCTGAAACCAACCTCCTGTTGTACCAGGTCACAAACCTTCCCAGTAGCTATGACACTGCTTCAGATGGCAAAGAGACTGAAACAATAGCTCCTCTGTCCTCCTGACTGCACTGGGGTACAAAGATGGTCCCCTGTGCTGGGACAGAGGGCATGCCAGTGAGGCTGGGCAACCCCATGCTGGTGGTTGCTTGTGCAGTTTGGCAGTGAGTTTGGCTCACCTGCCCTTGCTGCAATCCCAGTGCACACCAGTGCCCATCCCCAGCAACGCTGGGGCCAGCAAGGCGACAGCACCAACACAGTTGGGTCCTGATGTGCTGCTCTCTGGAGTTAGTTTAGGCTGCACACCACGGATTATAGGCAGCATAGCTGCAGAGAAGATGTACCATGGGGTCAGAAAATTCCCAGAACTGGAACCTGTCAAGCTGATGTATTGATCTAAGTGGACTGAATAATGCTCCATCATTTATTTATGGGAAGTGCCCAGCACACTTCACAAAAACTGGTGTTCGGCAGTCAAATTTAAGGCAAAATTAAACACCCCACAGCATATAAACAGGCACCTGTTCAGAAGTCAGAATAAGGGAGCCACACAAATCTTCCCCACATGCAGGACGAACAGAGCTGGTCCTCACAGAGCTGCCGGAGCTCTGCTGGGGCAAAGCGCTGATGTCTGCAGAGCCAGCCTTGTTCTTTCCACACATATCCAGGCTGTGACCTGCTGGCCAGCTCCTGGCCCCTCTGCCCTCCCCTACAGCTGCTGGCACTGCATCACCCTGGATGCTTTAGCTGAAGGGCAGGAGGGAAGAGGATCTTTTTGCTTTGCAGTGGCACGAGCATGTTCACAAACCACGGCTGCAAGAACCGCCAGGACTGGCACAGGGTGTCCTGCCCTGACCAGCTGGGAAACTGTCATTTTATTTTACATGTCCTACCAAGAGGTTTTAATAGCTATGTTTCGTCTGCTAATTGTAATTTTAATATTAATACAGACACTTTCAGGCAGGGAGAAAATATTTCCTTTCGGAAAAAATCCTCCCAGGAGCAAAGGGGCTTAAGCAGTCTGAGAAGATGCTGAAGGGTGGGTACTAAGCAATAAGAAAAGTGGTGGGTTTTGCTGAAAATCTCCATTAAGAATTTCAAAAAGACACATGAAATATACATGGTTTTAAATACACAGAAAGAAGGTGTGAGACCTCCCAGCTGCCCTTAGCTTAGGCAAGCAGCAGGTACCAGCTATGCTCCCTCAGGATCAGGCTGGGCACAGCTGCCTACTGATCGAAGGTGAACACCCTGATGTTTCTGCAATGGAGAAAATGTCTTTGGAACAGCAAAATCATCTTCCTCCTCCTGTCATGTCAACTGTGCACTGCATCCACCCAAAATAAGCACTTCCCATCTAACTGCCCTTATTCCACTGCTGCTACAATGAGGTGTCAAGATTTTATATTACAGCGTATGGTAGGAACAAAAAAGAGGTCATGGCTATGACTAAGTGGGCTTTTAAACACGGTTTGAAATGTTTTTAGTGACT